TTTTATGGGACCGTGGAAATGGTTGGGTGATTTAACGCGTGAATTTGTTATGGCTCTGATTCTTGGAGAAAATTTAGAATTTTTGTGGATCTCTCTAATCAGCAGACGCTCGGCTAAATTTACTTCCTGTTGAAAAATCTCGGCATATTTGAGACTTCTTGGGTTGAAAGATTTTACTTTCTTTTACTTAAAATTGCATAGACATTTTACGGAGAATTTTTTAAAAAGATTACATTGAATTGACCGAATAGAATTGATCAGTGGACGAAATCATTTTATGATAATTCCAATCTTCTCTCTTCTGATGTCTTTTAATGATGTCTTTTTTCGAAATTCACGTCTGATTGTAGGGAATTGCATGAGTGAGTTCATGGGGTTGATAAAGGGTCAATATGAGGCTAAAGAGGAAGGCTTTCAACTTGGGGGTGCGTCTCTTCACACGATGATGACACCTCATGGGCCCGATCTCAAGTGCTTCGAGGGGGCAATCAATGCTCAATTGAAACCCGAGAGAATTGCGGAGGGTACAATGGCTTTCATGTTTGAGACGTCTCTGTGCATGGGTCTGACATCTTGGGCTGCTAGCAGCAACAAATTGGATCCCAACTACTTGGACTGCTGGAGAGGGTTGAAAAAAAATTTCAATGCCACTGGTGGAAGCAAACCGGTTGTCTGATTGCTCCTTTTCATGTTTTTATTTTTTATGGCCCATTGCGAAGGAAAAGAAATGCTGGGGGAATAAAAACCTGCACTCTCAGAAAACTAGTTTTTGAATTTCAGGAGAAGTTGAATTCTTTAGAAATCACCAACTTGGACGGATTTTATTATTCAAAAATAAGGTGACGTCTTGAATATTCAATGAAATAGCGATTTCTAACACTATATCAGCGAAAATCATCGAAACAGTGAGAATTTTAAGTTTTATTCCCGTGAATTCTCAAACTACTGATGATAGTTTATCGAAATATGGATAATTAATCAAATGGTAACAAATATCACTTCCACGTGCGAGCAAAAATTTTTCATATTTGTTTAATAAGTTCTATAAATTTTTGAAGCCTAGAAAAAACGCTGGAAAAATTACTGCACGATCCCGACATTTCGGAGTCATTAAATAATGATAAAATACGAAAACGAGATTTTAATCGGCAGTCTCATTAATAATTTTTCAGAAGGCTAAAAAAAACTGGCGGTTTGGGGGAACGGAGTGGTCAGAACATTCTTAAAAGAAAAATGAATTCCATTTGAAAATGGCGCGTTCGCTTCCAGCGTTCCACGTTTTCACAACCTGAACTAAAATTCTGAAATTCCGCTAGGTGCGCTATAAACGACAATTGGAAGAGTAAATTGTGTTCCTCCACCCAACTGCCTGTAAATGCGTGTTCACATCCGCTACTTATTTGTAATCATCGGTAAGTCCACGAAATGACAATTCTCTCCCCTCGATAATATCGTCGTGCTACCCCTTAACGTCCGGATGAAACCAATTAGTGATTAGTGAAGTTAAATCGAAAGCCAATCGATACCTCGTCATCATGTTAATAAAAGAAGAACCCGTTTGGACTTCTAAAATTGACGCAGGCTTTCATATGTTCCCGGAGCTTGATTCATTCGGTAAGTATTTAATTATTTTCCTGTGTTTACTAACAAATGTCCTCCACCTGCAGCTCTCGATGGAAATTAATCCCCACATTCACCACTTCCTCGGGTGTTACAACATATTTACGAACAAAGTCACAACAAAATGCACGTGCATCACCAACAAAATCATAGCTCATGTACTCCATTACTTCATAATCTATTCCCCTTCCACATACTATGGAATACCTTATCTAGGAAGCGTCCTCAGTAAGGGCCCTGTTTCTACGATTTTTGGTGAATCATTCCCATCATTCCCCAAATCTTTAAAATTCCACTAAATCCCATAAATTTGGTAGAACCTCATCATAAAAAAAACACGGGCACATTGTTCAAACATCGATTTTTTTTTAACTTTAAGAACTTTAAACCGAATTTTGATTCATCGTAATTCATTCATTTATTCAATCAAGTAAATTCATTAAATATTGAATATTAAATTGGATACGAATTCAATACGTGAGTTGTTAATTATTTTAGAGAGGAGTATTTTGAATATATTTTCGTTAATCAGATACGAATTATCAGTTAATGACGAAAATTTTAATTATTGTCGGGCAAATTGAGATGATTATATCGGCAAATGGATTTTTGGGACTATTTTTGGGGGATTGTCGGGCCCACAGACCCCATAGACCCGGAGATATGCGTGTTTGGGCATGAGTGCTTGTTTTGGAGAGCCGGCTATGTCATCAGGTACTTGGTACGAGGAAAACCTGGTGGCATTGGCAGGGTTCATTCTCTCCGGGACGCTCCAGGCTGCCGGTCGTACCGTTCACATAACAAGCGGTTGATAACGCAAACCGGTATTTTTTTTTTCAAAGTTCAAGTCGAAACCTATTTAATTCGCATTTTAATCGGTATTGTTGTTTATTGCCAGTTAATTAAACGATCTCATCTTACTTTTTACCAAAGGTTACAAGTAGATATGAGATTATAAAGCGGTGATTACTTGTGAAATTATTTCGGAGTGATTATGAAGCAGCATCACTGTGTTTTGGATATTTCGGATGAAAATGGATGGCCTTTGGGTAATTTAATAGTTTAAATTAGTCTTAAGGAAAATATGTTTTTATTTTTATTTTCATTTGAGTTTGCGCTTCGAGTGTTATCGAAGAAAAAGTCATTTTGACGATTACCAGGGGTTTTATGCTGAGAGATAAAATTATCGCTCATGCCTCGACGCCCATAATATTTTTTTTTGTCGGTATTATCTATGCGTGTCACAGTCTTAGTTTTTTTTTACAAAATTAAAAAGACAAAAGGATGAGCTCTCCGCGGGAAACATATTTTTCTGGTTAACGCTCAATTATTGGTATTGGTTGGTTGTTAAATGTCTGGTTCTGTGAATGGTTATCGAAGGGGAATCGTGCAAGACAGGTGAATCTACTGAAGATAGGGAACAAATAAAATAGAGAACGAGTGATAAACACAACTGGTGAGCTAGGAAATGCAAATAGTATGGAATGGATCGAGACCTTCCAATATTTCTCTAACCAATACCTATATCGATATGGGTTATTTTAATACCGATCTTGAAATCTATCTTCGATCTATTAATAACAATCGTCTTCTAATTCACGGTTTACTTTTTAAAAAAAACCACGTGGACACGTGAGAACGGAAACGGAAAATAATATTTTGCTGACAGAAATAATATTACTGGAGTGACGTTGGTGATTTCAATCACTAATTAATTACCGATTTTTTGTTTTATATGAAAAATGAGTGAATGATGAAGAGAAAAAATTCAGGTGCGTGAAATTGTCGGGGAAGCCATGACACGGCGAACTCTTCAGCCCTAGGCTTCGCGCAAGGTTCATTGACACGAGAGTTACCGGCCTCGACGCTGACTCCTTACATTCTCCCCACTACAATTATCACCAAAAAAAATTTTCTCCTGCAACTTAAAACGCACTCGTAAATTGAAATTCGTTCTGCAATCAATTCTGAAATATGCAAATATTTGGACTGCACGTTTTGTTGAAAAAAAATATAGATTAAAACTCATACTTACATTATTTATTTATATTTTAGATGATGATTGTCCACTGCCAGCGGACGACTTCCTCGAGGCCCTGAGTTCAGAGCTGGAGATCCCTCTGCTCCTCAACGGCGAGGGATCCCCTGATCACGATGAGAGCCCCGATGAGATAATGAAAAATGCCTCAGTCGATCCATTGCCAAATTTCGATAAATTTGGGCTGAATTTCAATGACCTCGAGAGCGTATTCGCCACCATAAATGATCCCAATTCTGAGGCTATTCGCATCAAGAGAGAACCACATGCAGCTTTATATCCACCATCGCCAAGTCCAAGTCACTCGGAGTCAAGTTTATCCGAATGGCCGAATGATTTCCCGACGAGTGTCAAATTGACCCTGGAAACACCACCAATATCTCCACCTCAGAATGAGTCTCCACCGGTCTCGCCCCTTCCAAACATCGCGTCACCGATTCTCCAACCGATTAAACTCATCCCAGTCCCGACGACTGATGAATCTCAACCGCAAATCATCCCCCAGCAGCCGCCAAAGTTCGTTCTCGCAAAAAATCCAGCGAAAAGGGTCTGTGTTACGCCAAATGCCGAGCAACCGAAGAAAATGATTGTCCTGAGTGCCCAGGACTTTGCAGCCCTCACGAAGAAATTCAAGCAGGCAGGAACGACGGCTCCACCCCTGAAGATTCAGACCGTGAAGACGCGACAATTAATTGAGCCTCAAAAATCTCAAATCGAAATTCCCAAGCCTCAAAACTACACAGCAATCGACGACACGAGCCAAGTGAAAGTGATCAAGGCATTTCCACAAATTAAAATCACCAAGCAAGAGCCAGTGATGATAAAGAATGAAAGTGTGAGCATGCCACCGATTCTTATAAAAAGCGAGATCCCCCAGGAGTCGATGAATTTTGCAGCTCGTCAGGAGTGCGAGATAAAGGCCCTGAAACGGCAGCAGAGGATGATTAAAAATCGAGAGTCCGCCTGTCTATCTCGGAAGAAGAAAAAGGAGTATGTGAATTCGCTGGAGAATCAAATATCAGAGCTCCAGGAGGAGAACAACAATCTGAAGCTCGAGAATGCGATGCTGAGGCAACGGCTGAGCTCTCTAGAGGGCTCGTCACTTGCTACTGATGGCAAGAGCAACATCAAGTTGAATGTCAACAGAAAAAACACAGCCATCGCCCTGGCGATGGTCTTCATGATTTCTCTCAACATGATGCCAAGTAATTTATTCTCTCTGGAGCATAAGTCCGACACTCTCCTCTCCAAAGACATTCCACTGTCATTGCCCAATGTTCGACACGGGAGATCCCTCCTCTGGAAGCCAGAGGACCCCGAGGACAACCTGGAGCCCAATAAAACAGTCAATCATCCGATGTGTCCCATGTACATTAACCAGACAGAGTCTATCAGACTCAATTACGAGCTCAGAGAATGGATTTGGAGAAGCTCTGATAAGGAAAATTATAAGGAGCATGTGGCTAGACAGGATTCTAGGATAAATTCACCCCTTGGGAAGATGCTCCTTCCCAAGAAGAAAGGTTTAGAGAAAATTGCTGATAAGATGAAAATTCCTCCCCAGAGAAATGAAACCGAATCAACCATGAATGCTGTGGAGGTGTTTTCACCGACACTCAAAGATCATGCGACTCTTTTTGACGCTCTCAGGAGGAGGGATGATACATTCTACGTCGTCTGGTTCAGTGGAGAGCACCTCCTGCTGCCTGCCTTGGTCCAGAATAAAACGGTCAGACCCAGGATGTCACTTGTATTTCCTGGTGTACCTGTTAATAAATCCATCACTTCGCCACCCCATCATATTACTATGATGCAGATTGATTGTGAAGTCACTGATACACAGCTGGTGCACCTCAGGGAGTCTGTTATACCGAAGCATTGGAGAAAAAATCAGGGAAAGGAGAGCAATACCGAGAGAACCATAAATAAGACAAAGGAATTCAGTAAACCGTATTTTTTGAAGGCAAAAAAGGACGCCTTTGCCAATCAACAGCCTTACTTTCTTAATGAAAAATTTAATGATTATAATGTTAATGGAGATTTGTCACAGGTGAACAACTCCAAGGGGAGCTATCCGGAGAAGAAGTTGAGTGAGAATTTGCAACCTTAATGGGAAATTAAATGAAAGACTCTATTGGAGTCGCTTTAGGACTCAAAAATGAAGGTAATTCAGTAGTTTAGGGTGATCGGATATTATGAGATCAGTGCAATTGTACCGATAAGGATAAGTTTTTTCACTTTGCTGCCAAATTTATCATGAATTTAATGATAATCCTAGCGATAAAGTGTAATCATGACTGATGAAGGCGTAAAAATGGTAGATTTATATTACTCTGTGGGCGTAATTAAGGTTTAAGTAAACAAGTGCAAATAACGTGATACGATGTACATAATACGTTTCTAGGTGTTTACTTAGCGTAAGGCAAATTCATTGTATAATTTAAGTGCATTTTTTTTATGCACCGCTTGCATCACGCTACAATTTTTTTAATTAAGATTGTCTTAGACATTATCTTTACATTACAAATTGCAGTGTCTTGTGTGTTTGTTTTACATGAGGGATGGAGGAGGATAAAATTAATTTTTTTCGTCATTTTTAACTGCATTTTTAAAGTACAGTTTATCCTCACCTTTCCTGATAGATGATAAGTGAAATGTACCAGTATTGAAGGTTTCAGAGACATAATAACAAATGAATTTATTACAAAATAAAACAAATTGTGCACAACTTGTAAATGCCAAATTGTCAACGCAGGATTCATTTTAAATCAGGAGTTGAGCTTCCCAGGTACGTTTGTAAATCGGTAATTGTCGATTTTATGAGTTTCGCCTTTATCGTGGGCCTTCCGAGACGTTTGTGAGCAGTATATCGGTGGCAACCACCGAAGGAGTAATAGTAATCTCCACCTGGAATTTTTCAACGACTTTATCGAATAAAAAATGCAAATCGTCAGAAGACAAGTAGAATTACTGGTTTTTTAATTATAGATTCATCTCGGAAGTCGTCGATGTATCGACTCAATATTTTCTTCTCGTCCCTTCGCGAATCGTTTGGTATTTTTGTCTAGTCTCAATATATTTTGAGATTAATCGATGTTTGATGAGGCTAAAAAATTTTTTTAGACTTTTGCCTTTTTCAATTAGCTATTGAGATGATTAACCTTCTCGTCCAGTAATCCACAGGACATCGATCGGTGGTACCAGGTCGACAGTCTCGGGATCTTGAATCGTCTCCATCAGGCCTTTGACCTTGGTTTCGTTCACTTCAGGTGGTATCGGCCGTATCAATACGTTCATTGGTATATCGTACACATCAGCAGTATTACTCGAGTGAATACTTGTTGAATCATGTGCTCTCATTTTTAATCGCTTAAAGCAAAGAATTAGTCATACCGGTATTAAGTAATTGAGCAAACATAATGAGAGATGCAGGAATGAGTCCGGTGATTGTGTAAATTTAGGAAAATATTGCCACTTACTCGATAAAAGGTGTGCAGTCCGCTTCTGTTTAATTTTTTAATGTTTTGCATCGTCCACAATCTCTATGAGCCACTCGAGTGGCGAGGGGAGGGGGACTATTATTCATGTCACAAGGTTAAACTTGACCAATCGGGAGGCGAGGTTTGAGTAAAGGTGAATTGAATATTCAAGGTGTTAAATTATATTCTGTTTTATCGTTGATTGTGCAAAAAATCAATGACATCTTGGGCAAGAGATTTATATAATTTTGATTGGGGAGAATTCGATTGCGATAGTACTAGCGGCTTTCCAGCGTCTCCACTTTTCGTTATTGATTCGTGCAGCGGGAATTTTTGAAGAAGATTTATCCCTGCAAATTTTTAATCAATCTCATTAGGAAATTGTTCTTCTCATTGTTTTTCAGTTCAGCTGTGGAATTTACCATTTGATTATTAATTCATCTCGAAGCTGATATGCTTAATGCGAAAATTGTGAAGGCCATTTCAACAGCTGACATAATTTTACATATTATGACATTTGACATTGTATGACATAATGTGAAAATATGTAACAAAATTCAAAAAATGAATTGAATCTTTTGGTTCTAAGAAGTTATACATGGCGATTACCTAATTCTAGAGCTAATGCTTCAGTCCCCTCTCCAAACAAGGGAACGTCATGATGACATTGTGGACAGGAAATAGTACTCATGTTCTCAACGAGACCAACAATAGGTACATTGAGCTTTTGGAACATTTTAGCCCCTCGTCTGGCGACGTCTGATGAGGCTTTCTGAGGAGTTGTGACGATCAGAACTCCACTCACTGGAATATTCTGGATTAATGATAGGAGAGTGTCTCCTGTTCCTGGGGGAGTGTCAACGATTAAATAGTCCAGAGGCCCCCAGGCGACTTGACGAAGAAGTTTGTCTAAGGCACTCATCACCATCAGCCCTCGCCAGATCACTGGGGATTTCTCGTTCACCAGGAAACCCATGGACATGCACTTGACTCCGTAATTAACGAGGGGCTCCATCAGCCTCTGGTCATTCAGAAGGGGCTCCTGATGAAGATTCATCATGAGGGGAATCGTGGGGCCAAATACATCGGCATCCAGGAGTCCCACCTGTTTTCCTGGATCCACGACTTTCAAGGCTGTTGCTAGGTTTACGCTTGTTGTGGATTTTCCCACTCCTCCTTTTCCTGAGGCAACAATCAGGATTTGTTTTACTCCTTCGATCGGTTTTTGCTTTGGAAGACCTCTTCCCATTATTTCTCGCTTTCTCTCATCTTCGGTTCTCATCGGTTTCGATGATAACTCACACTGAGACCCAACAAGAAAATTATTAATCTCAAAAAAGATTCATAAATAATAAAAAATGAATTGAATGCTGGAAGCACTAACTTTAACTTTTCAATTACTCACCACTATTATTTCCCTGTAAATTTTTTGGGAATGCCTCAACAATTTGGGGAACGCTATCATCGTATTCTATTTTCTAAGTGAAAAATTAAAGTGACTTCATACAATTTTTCAATTTCAGTGAATATCAATTTCGAAACGCAGAAAATAACATTCATTGGTGGCATTTCCAATTCGCGAAAATTCATCAGAAAATCCACGTGTCGTCTACTTGACTCATGAAAACCCCTTGACATGAGACTCGTCATTCGGATGTGTTGGATGTGGGTTTTTTTTTACCGAAAGTTTTTATGAATTCAACATAAATAAATATGTGACAGTAAGAAAATTTTTTTTCACCTAATCTCAATAATCTTCTTTGCAAAACACCGTCGATTCCCAACACCTGCATTTTGTGGATTTTGCGTTTATTATTTGCTCACAGAATGACGTTTAATGCCCCTCAAATATTGGTTAACCTATAATCACAAAATAACGTCCCTGAACCTGATAAATTGTCTCACATTGTTGTCTGATGAAATCTCCAGGCAATATTTCAAGTCTGATGGGGTAAAATGGTGAAATAGTGCTTTTGAAATATTTGCAGGGAAGCAAGGAACCAGTAATAATCGGGGGTTACGCAGAATATGGGCCTAAACGCCGCAGTCCAAGCGCTGAAGTGAGTCCATTGTATTAATAAATAGTTCATCCCAAAGAAATGACAATAATTATAATCTCTCAGGAAAGCTGAACCTTTAAAAGACAAGGTTCAACGGTACAAGGATTTGCTAACCGACAACGATGCTTGGGTGTGCCAGCAGCAGCTTCAGAAGATCTACCAGCAGGTGTTGATTCTGGACCTTGAGTATGCCCTCGACAAGAAGGTGGAGCAGGAGCTCTGGAACCTGGGATTCAAGAACTACATAGTTCTCCTCCAGAATCAGGCTAAAGATCGAAAGAGTCCAAAACGTTTAGAGTCTCAGGCACTGCTGAGCTGGTACCTGGAGGCCGCCTCTGGCTTTTATCTGACTCTTCTCCAGGAAATTTGCACAGCATTCGACCTAGACCTTCCATTTCGTCGCAAGGGATATATATATGGCTGTATTTCCCCTTGGAAAGCCATCGAGAACCTCTCGACACCCCACAAATCTTCTTGTTTCTACGCCTGTCAGTACTGTCTCGTTCACCTGGGGGACATCGCCAGATACAGAAACCAAAATCGTCAGGCTGAATTATTTTACAGACATGCTGTCTTTCTGTCACCCTCCAGTGGACAGCCTTACAACCAATTGGCACTTCTCGAGGCATCCAGGGGCGACAAATTGGGAACAGTATTTCATTACGTTCGTTCTGTTGCTGTCAAACATCCTTTTCCAGTTGCCACTTCCAACTTGGCAAAGACACTGTCATCAGCCCTCAATGATCATCCATTTACCACCAGTGGAAAGGCAAAATTAAATTCCCAGGAGTACACATCACTCTTCCTGAAACTCCAGGGTATTCTCCAGACACTTGGTGACCTACAACTGGCTAAAGTCTACGTTAAAATTCTGTCTGACACTTTGACAGCTCTCGTGGCGACTGAGAGCTTTACCTCGTGGAGGCTCATCCAGATGCTGATCATTAATATGTACTCGCTGTATCATACTGCTGGTCATACTTTCGAGGGTCACATGGATCTGATGAAAGTCGACCAGCTGTCCCCTGACGAACAGACAGCCAGAAATTGCATTCTCGATTTAATCGCTGCTAGTCTCTCAGCTCTACTGCTACCAGTTTACACACTTAAAAATTCTTACATCGAGTACTTTGCTCTACCGAGCATTAAACTCCTTCTGGAATGGATCTGCCAGCAACCGATGATCCTCGAGGACATTACTTTTTCCTCGAGGCTCCAGATCTGGCCCAGTTTGTGTGTATTGCTGAATGGATTGCAGAATGGGATCAGTGATTTCGATGAAGAAAACTTCACCAAGACTCCACTCCCTGAGGATCGTGATCTCCAGGGATTTTTACCTCTGGAAAAAACCTTCGACTCACTGAGATTCTGTAATAACGACCTGGAGGGTGATATCATCTCCATAAACAAACTCAGAGCTGTGAGAATTATCAATTTGGGGAGACGTCTGGCTCAGTGTCAGGTTAACGGAAGAACTCTGCTGAATGTCACTTGCATGGACAACAACAAAATTAAATTTACATGTGTGTCAGATGCCTCTGGACCTAGCAACGAGCTTATGAAGGAGTTAGAAGAATTGAGTCTCAATAAAGAGAGACAGATCAGTTTTACTGCCAGTCCTGTTCCCTCAGAGTCAGCAAGCAGCAAAGGCTCGTCAGAGGCAGAAATCACTGAGCAATCTTCCTTTGCGCAATCTACATTCGCGAAGAAAGTTGGAATTTTGAAGTCTCAAGGAGTTGTAGAACGAAATCGAGACGTATGCAATCCGATTAATTACGAAGGTCAGAACAATTCCAATGAAATGAATGGTGCCTTGACAAGAAAGACTCGACAGAATATCGCAATGCAGGCTATCATGAGACGAGTTGAGAACGAGCAGAAGCAGGTGACCTTCAAAAATGTATCACCCATGAGTGTTGAAGAGTTAGAGGTGAAGAAAAATCTGGAGCCTGATTACTTCAACAGTTTGAAAACGTTTGAAACTCCAACGGCTGTGAGGAATCCACAGCCTCCAACATTGCCACCGGTACCAATTCCTCCAATAGAAACTCAACATCCAGTCCAGTGTTTTCAGGGTGATCAGAAGAGTCTTCAGCCCCAATTTCGTGCCTCTGAATTCACTACAGGGCAGCTCGATAAGAACTTTGGCTTCAACGTGATGCCCCACGTACCTCAATTTCCTCCGAGGCAATTTAACCTGCAGCAGGTGGTGACGAATATCCAAGGGCCACCACTGGCAAAACCATCTCCTAGTAATGTCTCTCATCCCAGCATGATGATGAATCTTCAGAGCCATCCACAGGAAATACCGCACCCCGGCTTTTTCGAGAGGAATCTTCACCAGCAGAGTGTACCGGTGGGAATGGACGTCATCTCCTTGGGGAATTATCAGAAAAATGGTAAAGGATTTCAGGTGGACATGCCGTATTTCAAACCAGGACAGATGGAACAATTCCAGCAAAAACCACTTCACATTAACGATTCGGCAGTTCTCCAGCAACCCAATTACCAGATGTACCGAAGTCACGAGGTGGACTACAATCCCTGGAAGGACCCCCAGCCCCCACCACCTCCAATGTCCTGGTGGGGTAGCACTGACAAGGATAAACCAGAGAGAGATGCCTTCCAGAGCTGGGTAAATCCTCCAGTGGTACGAAATCAGCTGTCAATGGCTGACAATTACTACGAGAAGAGTCAAATCGAGGAGAGCCGAGGCTGCGACATTGAGCAGATGAAGAGACCTGTCAATACCCCGAACACATACTCATTGTTCAGTGAAAATTCCTGGGGAGCAGCTGTTCAAAGCTCGAACCTTGCTTTAGATCAACCAAAACCTCGATTGAGTCAACAGTCCCTGTGGTCCGGACCTGGCCCATCACCTCTGGAGCGTCTCCTCGAGCAACAAAAATCATTACGAGAAGGTGGCACTTGAAGGAAACTTTGATATATCCTGAGGATACTGGGTTATAAAGTTAAAAAAAATAATAAGACGAAAAAAAATGCAAAAAAATTACCACTAAAGATTCTGATTCTATTAATTACAAATTAATGCCGATAGCTAGGCAACGATCGACGTGGAGAGAACGGATAGAGGCAAAATTATAATTACATAACTAATGGGTGTTGGTGACTTAGAGGATGAGACGTAATGACTTGAGTGGAACAATATTAATGTGAAAACAATGGCGCCAGGCATCGAGATCCAACCGAGTTAATCTGGGTGAGAAAAAAAAAATAAATAAAAAATCTCGGTAAATACGAAAATATAGTGATAACTATGAAAAGTGCACTTGATACAGTCCATCACCATCTCAATGCACAATACCTCTTAAGTTCAGTCGAGGCTGCTTGAAAATAAATGAGAGGATATCGATGATGGTAAATATATGTGAAGAATAAAGGAAAAGAAAAAGCGCTGGAGCAGAATCATATTAAAACGTCAGAGCCAGTCCCCTTTTTGGTTGGCCCCTCCCTTCTATTACCTACACTTGGAGTAACATTCTATCAACTCAGAACAAAGCGTCTCAAGCGGCTGGAGACTCAAGCCTATTGTTTAGTTTCTTTAAGTTAAAACTGCAAGAAACGTGAAATAATTGGGTTTTGCTTGGCAAATAAAATGGTTTTGTTTGGTTGATCGTCGGTGGTACGTGCCACTGGGGTAAACAATTTATATTAAACAACAAATCATGCATATGATGTAACACGACAGTTGATTGTATTTGTCATAGATTAAATTAAGTAGAATGCATTTGGAGTGATATTAACTGAAATCATGGTAAATATATATACATTGCGTTGAACGTGCTGAGCTTATTCTATTCCTGAATGTTATTTTTGACTCCTTTGACGGAATATTTTACCAACGAGTTGGTGACTCGATTGCGACTGACCTGGGACGTATTATCCATTCTCCCCCTCTCTGGATTTTCTAAGCCAACTACCAAATGAGATCAACAACACCCAATCCCTGCTAAAAGTTGGTCGTTTAGTTCAAATGTGTTTCCTTTCCAATTTTAACACAAAGGACGTGTCCACGAATATTTCCGTTGGGCGAGACAAATAACGAGTTCGAAGTGGATATCATCAGCTCTACCATTTCCTTCATCAGGAAAAACAGAACTATTTCCTTTTTTTTTAATTCATTTTATCATTTTATTTGCATTTCTATATGTTTAGAAACTCCAAAATTATGGAGACATTTCCAAATGAAAATGATTTTATGATTTTCCGGAGAAAATTTTGCATGAATTAATTTTGAATTTTTGTCTATTGTTTTCAGAGCTTTCTAGGAAAATATTCATTCACTCTGAAATGTACTCCAAAATTACTCTATTTACATAGCTTTCTCTGAAAATTTTTCTGTGAAAATAGTCGTAATAGAAGAATCGTTTGTAAATTATTCTTTAAGTTTTCTTGTATTTCTAAATGTAATCAGAATTGATTCCACTTTGTTTAAGATCAGGAAGTAAATAGAGCTCTTCTACAAAATTGATTTTCTTCATCAGTGTATTCTTCCGAATGGTAACACAAAGGATGAACCCCAAATATTCCCCTCCGACAAGAAAAACATTAACAGTCGAGCGTGTAACACCAGAGCTTTCCTTAATCACGAAGAACAAAAATACATATTAGCTTTTCCGATACGACGGAAAACATCTGCAGTTTGACTCGATACACATCTGGATATAACATCCCCGTTATCAGCTAATTCTTCGACATCTCCGACAACAAATCTATTTAAACCTCAATCATTCCATTCCGCCGATCTTATTATTGACGACATGCAACAAACAATCCCATGTAAAAATTCATCGATACCATTCCATTATCCTCTGCTCCTCGATAATCATGCGAGAATATATCTCCACCTCCAGCCGTCTCAACATCTCTAAACATGAAAAAAGAGCAATAAATAAAAATAAAATAATCGCTCCTAGATTTTTACCCGTGCAGTTGAATGCACTCTTTATCTGTTTCATAAAGCAATCTCGACTGTTCAATGACAATATTACCTCTCGGTCTTTAGCCATCGGTTGGAAACCCTTCGAAATATAACTGTAGTATCAATTTTTCTCAGTTTTTTTTTTTTTTTGCCACTGAGAGAGAGAGAATGAGAGAGACACCCGATGTTTTGATGATAGAAACCGAAGGTGGGGTGAAACGAGAAAAGCAAGCCTCTGCCTGCATCCACAGGTTCTCGCACGGTCAAACAAAGAAAGTCGTGAATCTCGTACTATTCTGCTCCAATCCAAACGACTCAAAAATCACTAATGACCCCCCTATTTATCACGAGGATTAATCACCCTTGCATTTGTCCCCAAGCTATTCACCAATTTATGTGCAATAACGGAAATGCAGGGAATAAAGAAGCAAATGAAAATTGAAATACGAGTGTATTTGACGTTCCGGCAGAACCATCGACTCGTGTCGCACAGCTGACAGGGCGAGTGGTGGGGGGTGAAACATCAGGGGGGAGAGGGAGTCGGGTAGAAAGCGACAAAGACAGCGGGAGTGCTCATGGGAATATATATATATATATATAGCAACGAGAGAAGGGACACAAAGGAAAAAAGGACAAATAAAGAACTGAGATTCAACAAAGGAAAATAGACGAAAACCTCTACCCATTTTCTCCCATAATCTCTTTGTCTTGTTCTCTTTCCTGTCCTTTTTTTGTCATGTGGTAAATACAATTCAATTTTTATCCTCCCACCCCTCGATTTAGTACAGATAATTTAACGTTACTCAATATTATTCAACGTGAAAAAAAAAATTGAGGAAAATTTAAACAAAAATTCCTCTTATGCTTCCTCGACAGAAAAGTTAATGCAGATTTCTCGTGTTTTCTGTTACGTTGTAAAGCGCACAGTGAGACGTGAAGCCCAGTAGGGGGTACAGCGTTTCGATACACACTTGCAAAACGCACACAAAGAGTCTAAAAAAAAGCATGTTAAGTTAAAAGGAAGAAAAAAAAAAAAAGCCGGTGAGCGGAGAAGGACAGATGGGGTGAGTGAGAGAGAGGGAATGGGAGAAGTTTGCGATGGATTGAAGTACAACATCGGATGAAACAAAGAAGCCCAGTGTGTGTGGACACCCGGCGGCAACGAATCCGCGCTTCGTTTCCTCTCTATCCCCTCCTCTGACCTTCTCCACCCGCTTGTCCCCTCGCCCTCCTCATCCCCATCTCCATCGCAGTTCCCGTCCCCGTCCCCATCCCCGTTCCCCGTTCTCCTCGTCCATCAAACTCGTATGTCCCTGTTCTACAATCATCATGATAATAATGCAGGAAAAAAAAAAATAATGAATCCCACAATTTGAACTAGAAGTTTCATCATTTTTTTTTTCTTCCCTCTTTCATTCGAAAAATGAGAAATCATCGTGGGGTAAACAAGCAACATGTTAATGTGATTATCAGCGAGTTTGTATGAGAGAGATGAAGATTGACTAAATGTGGAGGTTGGGGTGGATGGGGAGGATGGGGAGGATGGGGTGGTTAGGGTGGTTAGAGAAAAAGGGGGTGAAAGGAGGGGTGGACCGAGGGGAAAAGGAGTATAATCTAGTGGTGCTGTTGTGTCACAGAAAACCGGTAGCGGCTCCGAACTGATGGACGTGTCCATGTAGGCCGAGTTGCCAGGGGGGGCAAAGGGGGCAAAGGGGGAATTGTGAGGGGGTAGGAGAAGGTGGGACGCGAGGGGAAGGTTTTTTTCTTCTCCCTTTGTCCCTATGCGCCCCTCGTCTACACTAGCGGTCAGGAAGAGCCGATGTTGGCCGAGTGGCGCGACCGACCCTAGCCGATGCCGGCTCCGAGCGAGACATCACGTAGCCGGTGTTGCTAGGTGCTTCGGTGGGGTTGCCCCAATGGCTAATGGTGGGGGCAAAGGATATATAAAGGGTCTCAGCTCCAGCCGGCGAATCAGTTGATTGAGAAAGCAGGAGTACGCGTCACGCACTCTCAATTCCCCATTATTCCAACAATAAAGAGCCGGCTTTGTTTAATTATTTGGCATTTACTCGGGGAAGATAATCCAGGGCTTTATTTCATCAGTCTCTGTGCTTCGATTCATTCGAGTGACAATCGGTTATCTGCGGGTTTTTCTTTTATTTATTTGTTTTCTTTTTTTTTTTGACGTACCGGTGCTTTTGTGATTTCGTAAGACAATGGAGGTTTTACCGTGCCCAGTTAATGTCAATTTCAGTAACAGTAGAGGTAAGTTTCGAGTCTTCTTCTTTCTCTTTTGCAGTTTTTTTTTTTCAGTATTTTTTAGCGAGGGGGAGGGGGTTCGGTGAAAATTCAAGGACAGCGCAGGACAAAGGAAGCAGCTGATTGAGAGTATCTTAATCAGCTGTTTAACTTGAGTATAGAGTTTTTGGGGTGATTTTTGGTGGTTGGGAGGTTGAGGGGGAAATTGAGGGGATGAGTGATAATTGGGTATTTAGTTTTATTGGAGAATTGGAGGATTGAAGAGTTAAGTACTTCTTATGCTCTATTCCCCCCCCGGTCCCCTCCATTCGCATCGGAACCCGGGTGGTTCGTTCGTGTGAGCACGGACATGCACGAACACGCAGAAACTCGTCGAGTAGTTGCATCATCTCTTCCCCTCCACCAGTCGCTCTCTATTTAAAACTTTGATTAGTGGATTCTGAGCTGTAATTTGAATTCAAGGTTTAGAAAAAAAATATTGAGAAAGGTTTTTTTTTTTCTTTTCATGTGCAGCTGGATATGTGACTGACGAATTGGATGGTGCCTGTCAGGCACTGGCCAAGAGGCTCGAGGTCGAACTACGGGCTGCTAAACATGCCCAGTTGACGTGCGGTGAGGTATTGTTACCGGCTGATCTCCTACCCAGAATAGCCAAAGATGTTCTGACAATGGCAGAAAATGAACCCTGCGGTCTCAGGTGAGCTGAGATTTCAATTTTCTATTCGGATTTTCCGGCGGAACGACGTGAGCCTGAATAATCGGATTATTCGGGCTCACGGAATCCGATGCAAATCGATATTATTCAGGCATTTGCATTCCAATTATTGGATTATTGTTTAACTCACATTCTCGAGGAAATTTATTACTCGTGAATATTTTGTTATAAATGTTTTCGGTGAATATTTCGAAAATATTTTTTGAACTCAAGAAGATGATGAAATTTGTCGAAATTTTTCTGTAGGACTTACTCTAGTGTTTTTGTTTTGATTCCGTGGTTTCAATTAATTAATTGATAAATATTGGTGAAAAATTGATGGGGAATTTAATTAAATTTTCTTTTTCATTTATTTGTAGAGGATGTACACTGTTTATCAACTTCGAAACGGATAGCATGTGTCGGAGACTATCGAGAATACAGTGCGATCCCAACACAGTGTCGACATTCGAACTCTATTTAACTCTGAAACAGGACCACACATCGTGGCACATACTCCTGCCGCAATTTCTCAAGTGAGTTTAAACGTCAGAACTCGGGGAAAAAAATGTTAATGGCTAGTTAACGCTCAATGCTAATGGCTCAATGTTATCCCTTTTTCAGAAATCTCACTCGTGGTGGAACGATAATGATCAGTCGTGATTTCACTCTGGAAAAGAAAAAACTCTACAGATCATATCAGCAGGAGCACTGAAGTAACTATCGCAGTTGAAAAACACAAGTATTTGAAAAGAAAAAATAAAATATGGTTCGTCCTTGTTTTAACCATAAAAACAACAAAGTACGATGGCTGATCAGTGGTATTGTCTATCCAGTGACTCATCGAGACAGCATGTGAGACTCAGCATTTCAATTTTGAAATGATAAAGAGGGAATATGTAAGTTTGATTATTCAGTCATCATTCGTTTTTGAAATATCGTTTATATTCGGTGAATCAAACGATGAGAAACTTGTGAAAGGGAAGGGAAAGTTAATCAGCGAGATATTAGAGGGAGAGATATTTCAATGTTTGATGATAATATTTCGTGCCTCGAATTCATTTTATTTATTTTTTAATGTTAGTTTGAGGAAAAAGAGAAGTACATTGTGATAGCAATTTGAATGAGGGAGGAAAAATACAAATTTTATGTAGTCATAGTCAGTTTGCTCTTCTACGAAGGGTTATATATCATCATTGATAAAGCCTCAATGAGACTTGTAAAAAATTATAATTATTATTATGGTAATAAAAACGAGAAAAATCATTTGCCACGTGATATTCAAGTGTTTGGTGAGGAAAAATTGCATTTGCTAATTGATGAAAGTTTTATCGCATGGAGGCAAATAAATCCACATGTTTTCATGAAAGATTAAGGAGCAGTTATTTGCAGAACATGAGCAACGATGTATTTACATTAGATATACCAATACACCAATATTCATGAGGAAGTTACTGCACACCACTGAATGTGCATATATTACTCTCAGTTGCTAAACACTCATTCATCCTTTCAAGATAACGAAAATCAATATTTTTTTCATCATTTCAGTTGATCTGCAGTTTTTCTTTTATTATCTCGTTAATGGATTTTTTTTTTTTACTATTTTTGTACTTAGATAAATTGACACTCGAACTGCATTTTTTTGCAACGTTTTGCCATAAAATTGCACGGTTAGGGGAAAGAGATATTGGAAGGAATTTATCATTTCTTTTCGGTTCATTTATTTAGTTCGGTGTTTGGAGTATCAACGAACGTGGCAATTGAAAAATAAAAAAAAACAATGAGTTCATTTCGTTCTATATCACTTGAAAATGAACATAAGTTATGCCAAATTGAATTGGTGGTTTTTTTGTGATATTACCTAAATGGAAAAAAAAACAAAAGAATAAAATTTATGGAATAAATGTAATTGCGTGATGATTGATAAAAGTTTTAAGTTGATTGATGTGCCGTGATGATAAAGTACATGCAAACTCAAGTCAGCAGATTGATATTAAGAGGAGAATTTAATGAATTTAGTTATCTCGAGGGATTTAATCTGGGGCAGGAACGCACAGGCAATCGAGAATTGCATACTTTGTCAAAATGAATCATCCAATATTTGCATTGATAAGTTTTTTGACTTGTAAAGAATAAATGCATGTGATCTTCATTAATGAATAAGTAGTGGTTAGACAGAGTATAAAAGAAAAATGCTATGATTACGTTATATTTTATACTGAGTTGAAGAATATTATGGAGTCAAGAAAACTAAAAAAAAAATGATATAAGAATATGTATTTAATTTTTTCACATTATTCATAATCAATTGAATATATTCGTCCGAGTAATTAGACAGTTTTGTTTATAAAACTTAACTGATAAACAAATGAATCTTTGTATCATACATATCCCACCGATGTTACACTCGTAATTGTCTGTACATAATCGTCATCACAAATTCATCTCTACATTAACGTTTTTTTAAGCATTTGTTACTATCCCAAGTATTGAAACAATAGAGTAATCGCAATAAATTCATGACAGTATTGTTTATATTTCGCACCAAGCTTATAGTTAACTGAATAATCTATCAGAGCAGACGTTTGCCACAGGCAAAAGTAAAACCAACAAATTAAATGAGTAAATAAAAAAAATATTAAGAATCGTAAACAATTTATTACAATGTAATAATTATCGACTTTTGCAATATATATTTTGTATTATGTACTACACCACTATGTGATGCTATTTTTAATTCGTAATGTTCACTTGTAGGAACTTTCAAGTGCTGAAAGATATCTGATGAATAAATTTTGTTTATTATACTGAGAAAAATAAATGTCTTTTGTGTAATAAAAAAAAAGTTCTCGTGAGCTCATTCCCTACATTATACCAACGATAACAATAAAATAGTAAAAGTACAACAGCAGTGAAGATGGAGGAGAGAGACAAGAGTAGTAGAAAAATGACATAAAACGAATGTGTAAAAAAACATCGGGAAAACCGGTTTAGAGAGTTGAAGACTGGTTGCAAGAGTGCGATGGAACCGGGCGCGGCTCCAATCGCATCAATAATATATTCTCTTCAATTTTTATTCTCTACCCATTTCCACTTCATACATATGGAGGAGTTTCTAAAAATATATCTCTGCATTATCACTTTATTAATCGCTTGGCATTTTTTCTAACAATTCAATGAGTTTTTCAGCCATTTCTATTCGCGTTTGACTACCCGAAGGCACTGAGCATTCGGCTAACATTATTTTCAAATCTGGGTAACCACTTGAAATATCTTTTGGCACATCGTGGAGGAAACCACCGGAGATTGTCTCTGTACTAGATTCAGGGGACAGTATATGCTGTTGGAAAATTAAAAATACCAATTAAATTCACTGAGAGGCCGTTCGAGATTCTACTCGGCATTTTTACCTTGCACACTGTGTAGTAATTGTGATCGCTTATTCTGTGACTGCAGATGTCTATAGGAGAGAAAACAAAACAATTCTTGCACTCTATCGTGTCCGCTGATTCATGCAATTCCCCGAAATATTCCGGTTTATCTAGATAATCCAAAAACAAACGAAAAAAATTAAAATTATATCGATGATATTAATAAATTAATCGCGAAGAAAAAAGCTGCACTATATTAATGTTCATGATCTGACCCCACAATAGCCTAGTGAATGAGGAAATGTATTAATAAAAAATCTCTGACATCGAGACATTCTCTTAAAGTAGCTCTACTCCCCTCCCGAACTATACTGCGCCTAATTTAATTAATATTTTTAATTTTGCCAAATAAATTCTAGTAAATACTGACTCCAAATAATTTTTTTGAGATTCCAGAAGGATAATTAAATAAGAAAAAAATACAATCTTAAATATAATCTATTCTAGCTGTTTTGAATGTTGAAATTTACCGCAAGATAAGAGCTACATTAAAAAGAATAATGACTTGAGAATAACATGCACCATTTGAAAAGTCGTTCCTCTGGACCACAATGACGTGCTCGAGGTCGATAAATATGGGTTTATACTCTTCATTAACAGCAATATTATCCGGTGACATGTCAGTGAGATAATAAGAGAAGTTGGGATCACGAAATGTCAGCATTTGCACGGCTTTGAGCAATCCAAGTGCGATTTTAGCCCTGAGAAGCCAGGGAGCATGATAATAAGCCGGCAATGAGAGACCAACGTATTCCTCGATAACTATTCTCCCACAGGCTCCATAGTACCGAGGCACTGGCCAGCCCTCGCCAGCTCGCAGTATCTAATTACATATTTCAATGTTCAATTACCATTGAATTATCATTGATCCTTCATTCCCAATCATTTACTTTATTCAATACCTCGAGGATTATTGGCTCGGGATTCAAACGAACGAGGGTCCAGAGATTGATGTCATTAAAATACCTCGACGACTTCCTGAGTTTGTCAAAAAAATGTGTACTCCTCGGATTAGGGCATATTATCAATCCACTCGTGTCGTCACTGATGAAATCAGAGGAAACATCGTCCAAGACACGTGAGAAATAATCAATACTATGAGCATACTCATTGTTATACTTTCTGTGTACGCAACAATTCAAGCCCTCTTTGCATATCATTTCGTCGAAGGCTGATAGTTCCTCGTACTGTGCTAATTTTTTAACGACTATCTTTTTATTATTCAATTCACCGAAGAATACGTTTTTCGAGGGGAGAATGTGGGACATTGTTGTATGAAAGTCGAATGGCTTGATTTTTATGTTTTCTTCGAGGAGAGTACAGGCTGATGACCCGAAGCAAGCTGGGCATTTATCGTAATCTGTCATAGAATTAACACATGGCCACAAACGATTTTTTAATAAATTTATAATTAATAAAAACAGCAGGAAAACTATCAATTTTCTACGGAACTTTAATATTTTTTTTAAACACATCTTCAATTTTTGTGGGTTAGGTGGAGTTAGAGGGCGCTGGAGTCAGAATTCCGATTTTTTTTTTATTAAAAAACGCTTGATATCAATCAGTTGCGAGTTTTCAATAATACAATTGTCAATAATTGAAGGGTTGTCAGCAATTAAAAACGCAAATGGACAATTCCGAGCGGCCTGTCACGATGGATTACCATGGGATTCTCTTAAAACTCACAACTGCAGGTGAGTAAATCCAGTAATGCAATAACCAAGGTTACATTTTTTATATTTTTTTAGAATGTCAGAACGTTTGAATTACCTGATTTGCATGTATGACATGTATTTGTTTTCAGAGTGTATGAACCAGACATTTACTTTACTCCCCGAAGAGTCCCAGAAGAAGATCGAGGACTGCTGCAACGAAGCAAAAGACGAATCTGTCAGTTGTAAATATTTAAAAACAATCCTTCACGTTCTCGAAGGCCTCTACAAAGATGTTCTGTCCAAAAGTGAAACATTCATGAGTGTTAACGAGTACAGATGTGTAAAAACAGCGATTGAACATGTTATTTCCACTGGAATCTTCCCCTGTTTGATCCCAGATATTTCTAGGGAACTCAAAACACTGTATCCACCGGCCTTGAATATCCAGGAGAAGTTAAATGATTTTATTAAATACGAGAGATTATCGACAACAGTGAGAGCTGTTCTGGGGATGTTCTCAGAGATTTCGTTGAGACCAGCAATTTTAACTCAATTGGGGCCCATCCTGGGAGGCCTTGTCCAGTTGGCCCATGCCCCTCTCATGAAGCCAAAGCCCCTGGAGAGTCAGAGTTCTGGGTTTCAGATGTCCCCTGAGCTCTACGAAAAATTGGTGCAAGAGCAGGCGGAGTTCAAGGGAATCCTCGTGGAGACGATAAATAATTGCCCTCAATCTGCTGTTATCAAGGAGTTGATGGTTCTCCTGGGGCTCCAGAGAATTCCACAGTGGGTCAAGAAGAACGTTAGACTGTACTTAATTCAATTGATAATGCAACCAACAGGGGTTTATGCCTTGATAACAGTCACCTGTCAGGATGCTGTTGACGTTGGTATCCACTGGGACAGGTTGGGGACAATATCCAAGCTCATAGCCATGAATCATGGAAATAATCCTGAGGAATATTATTCCACTGTCTGCTCTCAGCTTCTGGAACTTTTGTCGTGCACTACTGTGAGGAACTCCCCAGAGATAGCCAGAACCTGCATAAAGGCGATTCACGAGGTTCATCCTGAGGTCTGCAGGGAGAAAATAATCAACAAAATCTGTGAACCACTGCTGATTACCCGGGGCTCATCTGATATTCGATTAGCTCCCAGGACAGAGACTGAAGTATCTGAATGCTTGGAAAACCTGAGGAAATTATTTGTCTCGACTGACGCGAAATTCAAGTCTTTACCTGTGGATTTAATTTCCGCGACAGCTGTTCCTTTATTCTGTATGTATAAAAGGACTTGGGAGAGCCCTTGTATACTCAGACTCAAGTCGAAGGAATTACTGTTGAATCTCTTGAACTCTGGTTGTTTGAGGGATAAATTATTTTCTGCTTTCCTTGGACACGATAACTCCGGATATTTTGGAGTAAAATTGAAGTTTCAATTCGGCCCCTCCGGTGGTCTAGAAACCACGGGAGAAGTTGACGACATTAATCCAGAGGACTCAGCAGACTGCCTCCTTGATTTAGTTAAAAATTTTCATGATCTACCCTGGCATTTATTTAATTATGCTCAGGACTTTTTCTGCCAGAGTAAAAAACGAGGGACAAATGTTCTGGATCAATTGGAGAGTCAGCTGGTGGTGATGAAGCTGCTATTAACTCTGGCCAACTGCAAAACTGTACAGGAGCGTCAGCTCAGGCATCCAGAGCATCTGATCAAGTTCATCACAGAATTATTCGAGGAATCTGTAGTTTCTGGTGATGAGGAAGATCACGTGGATATTTTGTACGTTAGTCTAATGCTGATAAAAGAGATGGTTACAGAAAGAAAGAAGCCGAAAGAGTGGAGCTGGACACCTTTTGAGGATTTATCTAGATTTTTGAGGGAAAAGCTCATCACCTGGGAATGCCCCCAGAATCTTAAATCCCTCGTCGAAGAGGTTCAAAGAATTATCAAACAGAGAGGAGTTTCTCCTCGATTTGAAGACCTCAGTGTTGATGATAAAAAGGAAACTGCGTTTGACGAGGCTTTGAAGGACCTGGCAGATCCATTACTGCCAGTCAGAGCCCATGGACTTATCACTCTCACTAAATTAATCGAGACATCTAGCTCTACAGTAACTGGAAAATCAGATCTCCTGGTTTATTTGTTCCAGCAAAATCTCAAGGACGAGGATTCCTTCATATACTTGGCAGCAATCAATGGTCTCTGTGCACTGGCACTGAAATTTCCCCAGAAGGTAATTGAAATTTTAATCCACGAGTTCACAGATATGACAAGAGACACAGATTCTGCTGCAGTGGCACCTGAAAACCGAGCAAAACTTGGGGAAATTCTCGTGAAGACCACTCGACTCCTGGGGGAGATGGCTCCAGCCTACAAAAATGTTCTTATAAATGGTTTTCTCACAGCAATACGTGACTCAGACCCAATGGTTCGTGCTTCAAGTCTCTCGTGTCTCGGCGAACTCTGCACAGTTCTCGGATTCGCTCTGGGTAATGCTGTAATTGAAGTTCTCTATTGCATCGGGTGTATCATTGAAACAGACAAATTCCCTGAATGTCGACGGGCTGCTGTTCTAGTGGTGACTTTACTCATTCGCGGTCTTGGTAAAGATGTATTGATAAATGTGGGGAGTCAGCTTTTGCCTGTTTATCGTGCCCTCAAGCACCTCAGGGATAATGACAGTGATTCTGTTTTAAGGCTTCATGCACAATTAGCCCTGGAGGAGCTCAATGACATCGTAAAGGGCGTTCTATTCGAAGAACCTCGTCTCGAGAGGAATATTCTACTGCTGAGATGAGAGAATTGTCTGTTGCGTCTCGTAAAAATGAAGTATTTTCGTATTCGTCGAGTATAAAAAAAATCGAATTTTTTGTTAATAAAACTCAGTGATATTTTCTTAACATTTGTGAATGGATTCATCATTGTTGATCAATTATTCGACACCTGCGTCACTCAATAGATTGCATAACAATAACAATTGAAAATACTCTTCCTGAAAGCGGTTGGACCAGCGATTACAGGAAAGTCGTATCTTCTGTGAAAAATCCAGCGATTCTTATGCACTCTCTTTTGAGACAGGCGTAGAGTCGCTGAGGTTGGGGTGTAGACGAAGGCGAGGGCCTCGGTGTTACTATTCGCAGAAGAAATTCCTTACAAGAGGGCTCAGGGAATGTCTTCTGACTGCCATCCGCCTGGTGCTTGGTGGTCGATGACATCGAGTTTGCCATGTGTCCAGCCTGAACAAAATTAGGTATTAAACCCTTTACATTACTCTCGCAGGATTATTCTACCTTCTGTGCATCCCTGAACATCACTGATATCCGCGAGCCAACGTAACCCCTCGCTCCACCAGGTACCATCACCTCCTTTTCCCTCATCAGATGAGTAATGAAGGATGTCATTTCCTTCGAGTGATCGTCTCCACAGAGCTTGTGCTGGAGAGAATGTATCTGGGCAATCAGGGCTTCCACACCTTCAATATCTTTTGCTATCTCCTAATCCAAAAAATTCATAAAATAAAATATTATTTTTTAAATTTAACTACAATAATTCCTCCGCGAAATGATTGATTGAAAAAAAATGACAGAAAAAAACAAGGTGATATTTTTTTAATGGGATTTTTTATGATTGCTTGTTGAGAACAGATTACCTCATACAATTGCATCTTCTGTTGAATGGGCTTGGTGGCATATTGGAGTTTATTGAGAATACCCTGCGTGACATCAGGTAAATTCGGTAGGGAAGGAGTTTTCTGCTGACTTAGAGTGAAGAGTGCAGCGTGAGTGAGGGCTGGGAGGAGCAACTGGGCAATTTGACCGAGACGCTTTGATGCTAAATAGTGGATAGCCTTCTCAGCCTCTCGAGTATCATCGAACAGACGTTTTTGCCGGTGGGCTGGAACTGGTTGTGCCGAGGCCCATGTCGTCGCCCACGGGTTATTTTCAATTTTCATTCGAGGGGATAAATACCCTGAAACCATAATTCATTTATACAAACGTCCTTCACCAGGCAACAAGTCTCCTTCGATTTTTATACCTAAAACTAGGAAGCCGCACTGATATACATCCCAATTATTTATCCTTTTATCGTCATATATTTATTATTAATATATTATTATTAATAAATAATTGCATCTTGATAAATTTAACGAATATAATAGTAATTCATTTTTTATATGAGTGTTCTTGCTGTCGAGTTTATGATCTTGAATTTTGTATGAAAACTCGTGGGATTCATTATTATGTTAAGAGTGTAGTGGTGTCTTATAATTCATTATAGAATATAATTGGTTCACCTGCAGTTTGACCCCATTCGTCGACACCTTCCATCTCAACCCAGTCTCTAGGTGAATACCATCGAATGAAATCTCCCAATTCTGATCCAGGATTCGCTGCCTGCAAGTAAAATTTAATTTTTTTTTCTCATCGTATAGAATTTCTAATGTGTAAAAACAAGAAGGGGTTTAAGAAATTGGGGCAAAAGG